GTAACTATCAATGAGATCGTGAGATGGTATTCCTTGAAAGACAAGCAATGCGTTGCTTGCCTAACCTGTGTCTGAATTAAAAGAGGGGCGGAGATAATAACTTTTCCCCATACAAGAAATTAACTAAGTTGCCTCTCTGTTATTGAAGGTTAGGGGCCAAATATGCCACATACGTAATTTCTATATGTGCATTTGAAGTATAACATGTGATTTTATTCCGGAACATTACTATTCACGAAAGGGTGTTAGTTTTTGAGAGCTGTATTTATAGCAAAGGTTCTCCGGGTGTTTTTGAAAGGATTGTATGATTATGAAACAACAATTAAATGCATCTACCCGTTACAATTACAATACAAAGTGCACTACGTCATTAGTTCTGGTTCAGACAGTGCCACAGCACTATTGCATGTTCAATCATAAACTATATAATCACTGCACACTAGCATTTATTAAAGACACATTCAATGAATATACAGTAAAGTTAAATCATTAACTCTATAATAACTATGTTATATGATAACTTATATCACGAATAAATGTTTTGTCTTCACTTGCCTATTTCATGTATTCAAACTCCAAGCCTGTCACTGCAAACGTTGCTGATGTTGGCTGTAAGGACGTTCTTTACATATTAGGTTGTATTGGGTCTGGCGAAGTCATGCAGGACCCCATCTTGCAGTTGTTATTGAAGTGGAAGGACAATTGTTGCGTTTGGACGATGTCTTTTGAGTTCAGATAGTTTGAACATGTGTTTGTCAGTTTACGATCAGCTCCCGATAGCCTTCGAATCAGGAGTGCTGATACTTTTTGTAGATTTTGTCTCAAACAAGTCAAATATTACAGTCAAGATCAGGGCATCTCTCACCTATTTGTCAGACGTCTTAACATGACCATTCTTGGGGTCACTGATGTTTTGAACTATTATATGTTGATATATGTTGCACCTAAGGTTTTCCCAACGTGGACGACTGTTAGGATGGGGCTGGTCCAATCAATCGGCTGATCATTCCAAGGCATATGCATGACGTTATGTATGCACACGTGGGCTTTTTCTAAATGAAGTGTTAGGATCGGGTCATGTGATATTCACGATTTATTGATGTAAAAATTGCCTTGGAGCAGAGGAAATTGGCTTGTGGGCCAGTCGGGCGGTGCTGACCTCTAAATAATGGGGTATATGGGAGATGTGAAGAGGTGTCTGTCACAATGAACACAACTTCCTCCACTGAAGGTCACACATGATATGGTTACTCTGCATGATCTTGGTACGTCAAGATAATCCTTACCATTAAAGTTAGTAGTGTCTTCTGGTGTTAAATCTAGAAAATCCTTCATTCTGGGATTTCGATCATCCACTAGAACCATGTGTTTATCGGGATGGTCAGCCACAATGACATCAAAATAATGTTCAAGATAAGTCAAACCATCGGGTTCAATATTTGTGAAAAACAATAGGTGTGTCATAAGTGAAAATCAGAACCTAGGCTAGCTAGACGACTAGCTGTAAACAAAAGGACAACTGTGAGAACAGTTACCCCACTGCTGTGGCGTCCCAGCTGTTTAGCTTTAATTCCATCTGTTTACATTCAGTACAAATGCACAACAACGGACACAGCAGAGGATGTGTTACCCTGAACCAAACGTACATCATACAGTTAGGGCTACCCCATAAGCTGGTTATCACTTGGTTGCAGAACGACAAGAAGAAATATATCTTTCATCTCCGCAGCCCACTCAGCTTTTTCCTGTATACAAGCTAACCATGCTGGAGTTGGGGCATGTCCCAAGGGAGCCACATCACGAATACCATGGATGCACCAGCAAACACACACTTCTTGAGTATGCAAAAGCAACAGGATGGCAAACAATTCCACTAATAAGTGGTAAATTATCAAGACAGCAATGCCATGCAAGTGTTTACATACATGGCAGAGCAGAATATTCCTGACCATCTCCGGTTACTGAAGTTGTATATATGTGCCGAAATCCTTGTGAGCTAATTGCCAACATTCGTCAGGCAGTTTGGTAATGCAGGAGACTGTAGTGTTGGCCAGTTTCCACATTCTCCAAATAGTCCTTAAGAAATCTCTGCAAAATACAGATCCGATTGTACAATTCCGAGGTGTTTGCTATAAAAGAATATCGTATTCTGCCCCATCGGTGGCACCCTTCATAAACACATGCGAAAGCCAGTTAGTCAACTCAGGCTGAAAAGTATAATTTTTATGAATTTTGAGTTGCGTTTTTATTGCTGGTCAGTATATATAACCAACTTCTAGCTAACCAATTCTTTTCTTAACAAAAATAAAGGTATGTATCAGATCTGTCATTCCTGACTTTTTCTACACAAATTTAAATTTCAGCAGACGTTTGAATGTTCATTGTAATCACATAATTCATTGAAATTCTAATATCTGCAGCCCCGTAATTATGCTATTGATAAAGAATATGTAAATGTTCTTTTTCATATTTTCTCATCTGTTACAGTCGTATCATAAATATAGTCTACTGATGTCGATTCCACGTATACTAAAAGAATGGTTGCCAGGGGTGTGTCAAGTAACCTTGCTTTAACATCAATATAGAAATCTGAAAACACAATCAGCGAGATGGCCTGGCTTTTGTTGCTTGTGGCTTATAAATAGCCTTCTGTAAATATTATTTTATGGTAACATATGACAAACAAGTTTGCTTTCAAAAATATAGCTTTGTAAAAAGAGTTGTATTCATGATGCACTTGTGTGTATGTATTAAAACCTTGTGGCTGAAATACTGCTGATAATAAATTGTATCTCAACCACTCACGCCACCAAACTATCGTTGCAAACAACGCAATCAAGTCAAAGGCTGACTGTGCATGTCAGTGTGCTAGCATTTGACCTGGCACATAGTAGATAAACATTCTTTATTGTGCACGCACGAGTTTTTCACTGACATATGTTAAAGCTTTAAGATAATCATACTTGATGCAAACCAGAAATATAGAAATAAAGCATCAAGTTTCATATTCTCAATTCAATTCTTTATTGCACGAAAGACCATAGGCCCACATACAAAAGAGACACATATTAACAATGGCACATACTGACTAGCAAAAAAAACGCAATTCAAGAAATCAAAACAATTGTGTTAAAGTATCAAATCCAAACTCAGGCTGGAAAAGTATAATTTTTATGAATTTTGAGTTGCGTTTTTATTGCTGGTCAGTATATATAACCAACTTCTAGCTAACCAATTCTTTTCTTAACAAAAATAAAGGTATCGAAACATATCTGTCATTCCTGACTTTTACACAAGTTTAAATGCCCTTTCACATACATTTGGGTGTTCAGCAGACGTTTGAATGTTCATTGTAATCACATAATTCATTGAAATTCTAATATCTGCAGCCCAGAAATTATGCTATTGATAAACAATATGTAAATATTCTTTTTCATATTTTCTCATCTGTTACAGTTGGATCATAAATATAGTCGAAAACTAGTTATAATGAGAAAACTGTGATATATTTATGGTTGTTAGGCTCTTCATTGTCAACAAGTTGTTTACATAATAAGAACATTTTATAGATCAAAACGTATTGCCATATAACTTTAAATATATACTTAAGACTAGATTACAAGTCGTTCAGAATTGTGTCATGGCCTTCATTACCCAACCAGCTATGAGGTGAATAAATAGGCTGCACACTTCCACTCTGCAGACTTGTTAAAACATATCGAACCACAATCTGCGGATCAACTTTCACAGATGTAGGGGCCAAACACAATAGTACAAACAGGTTTAACAACGTTCATTCTTGCTGGTTGTCCGGGACAGGGACAGGTAACTATTTGTATGTATTGTATATGTGGTGAGGTGAAATTGGATTTAAGGTCGTGCTTGAGAATATTTCGCTCATATAACGACATTATTGTATATATATGTATATGAGTACCTTGAGTGTAATCATTATACATATTGTTGTTTATCTCATGGAATAATCGCTGATTGCCAGACGTTATATTGTTTGATATTTTAAACAAGTCTGCTAACGTCTGACACAGGCGGTTCTGTGAAACTGTTAGTTTTTATTGATGATATAATTTAGAACATGTTTTCAGGGTTAACATGTTTCGATAATTGCATGTGCTCTGCATTGTAGTTTTATACCTGGTGTATCTCCAGCAAACTCTATAAGAACGTTATGGTGCATTTATGGTGGATTCATTTCCAGTTGTCATTTTTTCTCAAAGACATGTGTCCGTCATGGATATTAGGACTGGGAGGGGTCCAAATTGTTCTACCCGGCTACCCCACCCCCTGTTATCCTACCCTACTCGTATACCCATTTTGTTAATTCCTGACATTTTTTTCGACTTTTTCAATATTTTAACCATGTATTATCAGTTATGTCTAAATCTTCAAAGACAATACAACCTTTTAATCATGAAAGAATATTACGTTGTTTAATCTAGTAGTCACATGATCATAACGGGTCCGGGTACTGAGACGGGTACCGGGTCCAACTCATTACCCACCCGTGCAGGGTATCTGGGTTACCGGTCCCAGCCCTAATTGATATACTGCCTCTTCTTTCTGGTTTAGATATACATACAAATCTGTGTCTCTTCACTGACGTTGTAACAGGATGTTGACTGCAATTATACTGGGGGCAGCTGTTGTGCTGTTCATCGCCTACATTTATCAGTGGAGACGGAAGTATAGCAAGATGCCTCCTGGTCCTCCTGGTATCTCAGTTAGCTAGCACTATAAAACCAGCTTCAGTCTAGGCTAGTACAAGCAGTCGCACATACACATACACACGCATGCACGTCGTCATATGAGCGAAATATACTCAAGTACGACGTTAAACCCAATTTCACCTCACCTCACCTCACCTTAGCCGTATCAAAAGATAATGGAAAACTACTTTTAAAGAAAAACTTTGCTATATTTATAGTTGCCAGGCCTGTTTTGTCAACAAGACATTTTATAGCTCAAATAGTACTGCAGTGCAACTTTAAAAACATTAATTCAAGATTAAATCAACATTACGAGCCGCTGTCAGAATTAGGTTACATTCCTCCATTTCCCAACCAGCTCTGAGGTAATAAATAGGGTCACACTGCAGTCGTGTTAACACATAACGTCCCACAATCTGCATCAATCTTGACCAAACATCGTAGCACAAAGCTAATTTACGACGTTTATCATTGCTGGTTGTCACGAACGAAGACAAGGACAGGTAACTATTTGTGTGTATTGTATATGTATGTATATGACTCCCAACAGTCAAATTGTCATACAATTTGTTATTTATCTCATGGAATAATGACTGATCACCGACCTTATAATGTTTGATATTTTAAACAAGCCTCCTAACGTCTGAAACAAGTCTTTCTGTGAAACGTTTTACTGATTATATTTTCATGCTATCAGGGTCAACATGTTTGGACATTTGCTGTTCATTGTAGTTTTAAAACTGGAATGTCTCTTGCCAGCTCCATAAGCAGGTTATGTGCATTGATGGTGGAATTAGTTCATTTTTAGTTGTCATGTTTTCGGAAACATATATGTCCGTCATGGATATATTTCCTCTTTCTGTTTTAGACATCTGTGTCCATTCTGTGACGTTGTAACAGGATGTTGACTGAGATTATACTGGGGGCAGCCGTTGTGCTGTTTATCGCCTACATTTATCAGTGGAAACGGAAGTATAGCAAGATGCCTCCTGGTCCAAAACCACTGCCAGTTCTGGGCAATTTCCAAGAAATAAAAGACTCTACAATGCTCAATGATCTCACTAGATTGGGTTCGCAATACGATGGCATATTCACCGTCCATTTGTTAATGGAACCTGTACTCATTTTGGACCAGTTCCACATCATAAGGGACCTCCTTCTTTCTCCTGCATATGCTGACATCTTTAGTGGAAGGGTTAATTCATACATTAGCAAGTATTTGCTTCCGGATGATTTGCTTTTCCAGACGGCCAGTGACACACAGCAATACCTGAGAAAACTGACCTTTCGAGGAATAAAACAATATGGAACTGCACTGAAAAACGTTGAGCATCTTGCCCAAACTGAAATACAAGAAATGATCAACAGGTGCAGAGAACGAAATGGAGTCTCTTTTGACCCGTGGAATGACCTGAACCAATATGTCAGCAACGTGATCTTGGTTTTGGTAAGTTGGTGCCTTCTTCTGAAGAATTTTCAGTAATAATTAGGAAACATTGTGTTTATCCGTAAATGGCACTAATGATGAATTGGGTGTCAACTTCCGCAACATAATTTCCATATTTAATGCATCAGTGACAAAAATAATGTCCAATGCAATTCCCTATTTTGACTTATACCGTACGTTCCCGAATTACTTCAGGTGATTAATTGACTGAACTTAGCATACATTTATGACGAGTCACCTTTTCGCGAACACCTGGTATCATCACTATTTCATAGTTATTCATAAACACATGCTCTGTTATCGCATCACATCGTGACAATCTGGACTCGATTTCTTTACAAACAACATCGTACAGCTGTAATACTGCGGAAACAAATATAAACTCATGATAGTCACAAGTGTACAAGCGACGTGGAAAGAGTTTTCTCGCTTCTATTTATATTGATGACCGCAGAATTCACCTGTGTCAATTCACAGCTAGTGTATTTTATTTCAGCTTTGTGGACGAAAATTTCAACTTGGCCATAAGACACTGGAAAATTGTCAGAAAATTTCAGATGCCTATGATGTCCTTTTACACCACAAGAACCAGTTTCTCATTGACAATGTCCCGTTTAGTACGACGTTGATACCACAACTGAGACACGCTTGCCAATTTTTGAAGGATGGTTACCACTATTTTACCGAAACTTTTGACAAAATATCACAGGTAATGTATACAAACTAATACTAAGAAATGTTGAATTAATGTCAAGTAAAACACGTCTGAATGACGCTGTGAAATTAATGGTAGTGTATGTACTTTAAACAAATTGCACGAATATTGTAGTATAATCAGAAAACCCTGATTGCAAATATGGTGTAATAGATTGGACATAATTTTGAAGGAATCCAAGGATACGACGCCCAACTGTCTCTACACTTTGCTTTTACAAGAGCATGAGGAGGGATTGATATCAACGGAAAATATAAAAGGTGTCATGGTGGATTCCCTGCTTGCAGGTAATACTGTAAAAATAAGATGAAGCCGTATTCTTTCTAGTTCATATATCTCTATACAGAAATAGTTTTGTACTATTCCTGTCACCCAAGAAAATGTAAATAATAATCACTTCACAGATTCCAGGTCCCAAACTAAATCACTATTTTCTATTATGTGGATAGGTGTTATCACAACAAAACCAACCATGTACAATGCCCTAGCTGCAATGGTAAACTTCCCTGAGGTTCAGAAGAAGATCCAGGAGGAGATCCAGAGAGTGGTTGGAAAGGACCGACTTCCTGGTTTGGAGGACCGGAACAAAATGCCCTACAGTAAGGCTGTGGAATTAGAATTATATCGCTACTACACTCCTATCGGTACGCCTGGACCAAGGAACACTACCCAGGACTGCAGCTTTAAAGGTTACAGCATCCCCAAGGGCACAAGGGTACGTATTCGAAGTACTGAAGGGCAACATATCCGCAAAATACACTTAAAAGAAAGTAGGGGCTATTCCGTTCACATCAGGAGTAGACTACAATCACCAGCTGCTGAGGAGTTGATATAAATCCAGCAGATATCCAGATATTAAATCCATGCAGGTAGCAAAAGTCTTGTAAGTCCTCATGATCCCTAGTATGGTGATCAACCTTCAGTTGCTGGTGATCTATAGTCCGTCTTTTTATATTATACTGTTGTCTCTAGTGATTTATTTTTATGATAGCGTACTAATTTTATATGAAGAGCTGTGATAACCTAGTATTTTTACTGTCCTGCGATGACAAGTTTTTACGAACTAGTTTTTATTTATTTCACTATTGATATAAATTAAATTGCTCTCGTCACGTCACGATGTGACGCTAAACATTAACTCACAAACTCACTCACATCAGGAGTATGTACCCGTGATCAAAGTACGAAAGTCAAATTGAAGATGAGCTTCACAAGCTTACAGATGTTAGCATCATTTGTAATCAGCAACATGGATGGAGTTTTCCCACGATTGACAGACTGGCTCATTACCGCAAGACGTCGTTCGTGCCAAGAACTGCAGGGGTGAATCAAACGTTTTGGTGCAAACGTTATATTTTTAAGGGAACTGAGGTTGTCTTTGGACTTCACTGACAGATTGACACCTGTGGTTGAAAGGGAATGGGCATTTTCACGCCGCTAATGTTAGACAGAACGATCCTTTTGGGATAGGCTCAGTAATGGTGATGGTGTGTTATTCACGTGATTTTGTTATTCACTGACGTTTCACTGGGCAGTTCTACCGTCACAACATCCTTGAGGAACACGTGGTGCCACTGATACGCCAACATAGACCTCGTTTTGTGTTTCACGATGGCATCGCAGGAACACAGGCGTATTGTTACCGACTACCTCCAACAGGAGGACATAACCACCTTCCCATGGCCAAACCTCAGTGTTGACACACTCTGTCGCTGTTTTGGCATCTATTGGGCTAGTTACTGTTACATTTCCATCTTTTGGAATGTCATATACAAATTATATCATCACAGTAAGTTTATCATATGGTTAGCCTAAAATATTGGCTAACTTTGCCATTTTCTTATTTCACTTGGTAAAGTGCAGAGCGACTGACACCTCGCCCCTAGTCTGTCTCACAGTCCCTGAACCACATTATTTTCCCTACTGCCAAGCCCTCTCTGCAATGCTTAAGCCCTAAATAAAGCAAGTCTAGATTTCCTCAAGTTCGGGGTCTGTTAACATCTGCAAGAAAACTAACTCACTTTGGGGGTCGGATTACAAAGTAAATATATCTAACTGCCATGGCTGGCTGGACCAACATCCTCACCAGTTGTCTGGAATCTTGCCTCACATTTTCATCTGTCAACTCTTAATTAACAAGCACATTGGGTGACATGAAGCTATAGTGGAGGCCTTGTGCATAGTTTCTGGTCTTAAAGAGACAAATCAAGCAAAATCTTGGGGAAAGGTTCCTCCTGAATGTAATGTTGTAAAAAGTATTGTTTCATTGTCTGACTTGGTTCCACACATAGCAGCCCAATTGTAAATGCGGTTAAGCATTTAATTGTAATTAAAACAAGGGTTATTTTTCTTATACCTGATATAAGACTATTGTGTTAAACTCTGGTGTGTTTTGAGTATCTCTTTTTATCTAATTGCTCAACAGTAAAACATATGGCAGGGACCTAGCATGAAGAGTGAGTGAGTGAGTTTGGGTTTACACCGCATTCAGTAATATTCCATATATGGCGCCGGTCTGTAAATAAGTCGAGTCTGGACCAGACAATCCAGTGGTCAACAGCATGAGCATCTACACAATTGGGATACGACGACATGTGTCAACCAAGTCAGCAAGCCTGACCACCCGACCCCGTTAGTCGCCTTCTCATGAAAAACCAAATTCAAAAGGCACAGCATCTCGGAATTGAATCTGTTTACCTTTGTGATGTGATTGAGGCATGCAAGGTGAAATCTAGTGATGATGATGTAGTATTTAGAAATACCCAGAACATCTTCAAGCGTAAGACAGACGCTGGCCCCATTGAACAGTTTGTTTAAAAAAAGGTGGTTATCTATATCCTCTTAGCATATATACAGATGGAAACGTTTGAATTTGGAGATAAGTTCAAATTCATAAATAATTTTGTTGGTGTTCCACACAGATCTTGCACCTTGGTCATCTATAGTCCAAGTGACATTGTGGGCTGCAAGTTTCCCAACAGTAAAATGTTAGGCAGTAGGGGCACTTGACCGGCCCACATGAGGTGATGACAGCATGGAGATAGGACAGGGCTTAACAGGAGGGCCAATAAATATGCCTTTCACTTATAGCGTTATCTGATGGTTGTATGATGTGACTTCTAATTGGTAATAGCCCCAGCGCGTGTAGCCCCAATGCAGATATTTTTGTCTCTGAATCTCCGATTTCCCTAGGGCTCCTTTTCAATATAAATTGACTTGTTTGTTACTATCAAAATTATATATATTCAGAGACTAAGCCTTAGTCTACCTTGCCCCATGTGCGAACACTTGGCGAACACTTCTTTTGTCTTCGATATTGATGGGCTGGGATATAATGATATATTTTAACACAATCGAGGTAACATCTACCCATGCATAATGTGCTGCCAATTATGTCAGACTGTATCGAAAAGGCGTAAACACCATGATTTGCTATCTAAACTTGTAATGTTTTCACCTGTTCACCCCAGACCTAGCCTAAAACGATTGTAAAATGCGGGAAGCCCAATTTACGGCGATAGACCACACTCACTCACTCACTGAAATGATTGAGTCCACTCTCTTTTGGTCGTGGCATTCACGCATCTATAGGTTATGTTTATTTGGTGAATTATGTTTAGAAAAAATGACCTGTTGATCATTGATCATTTAAAGGGTGCCTTGGATTTATGTCAATTTGTGAATTCTGTGTCTCAAAGAGTGTGAAACAAAGCAAGGGAGTCTTTAATGTTGACTTTAATATGAATATCGAGGAAATATCTCAGTGGTCAAAAGGTCCTTCAACTTAAGCGATATTTCGTAGGAAGGAAAAGGAATTTACAACTTCTGTTTACATTGCCACCCCCTTGTCTTTTTGATTGTGTCATAATGAACTGTCAATCATTCATTGTTCGTCCATTTTGTTCCCCCAGCTGTCAGATGCAAGAATTGCTAAGACGTTGGTAACGTTTCGTCTCAATGCAGAAGTTGGCTCCAGATTCCATTCTAGACAGTCCCCCTTCAAAATCCTTGTTCGAAGTCATTGCCGGTTATTTCTTCATTGTTCACTTGCATCTATCAAGTGGATCCACCCACACCCTTTAAAACTACTCCTCCGCTTATCCTTAAGTCAGGATTGTGCTGTGAATCGTGTTCCATTATAGACGGGAGTCTCCAAAGATTCTTCCAAGTTCGTACTGCTAGAGCTTTCTTGGCCCTCGATATGATTCATGATCATATGTCAGTTGCTGCTTCAGAACGTATAGCATTTCTAATGGCACAGGGATGGATGTTCATGTAACAACCATTTTTACATATTCATTACCACTATTGCAGCTATTCAGTTAATGGGTACAGAAATGATATTTTTACAAAATATGAAACTAGACACCATTTTGAATACTAAATATATCTCATGTGATATTGAATGGTTTCCATTGTTTATATTTTCTGCTGCTGCATCATCACCGTCCACTCTCAATTTACTAGGGATGACAATGAGCTAAAATAAACCCAGTTGATATTGCACGTTTGATTAAAAAATGCCTCGTCGAATCTGTGAATGTCTATGTAGGACAGAGGCAGATTCATGCCATATAAATCCGTTTTACTTTCCATGGTAAAGGACATGAAGGATAGTGGACCAGTCATCTAACGAAATCTATCTGACGTTCAACGACTAATGCAAATCTCAATCTGACTTCCCTGTTACACTGTAAAACTATTTATATCATTAAAGAGAATATCAATAGTTGTAACAACTGTATCTTGGATATCCCTCACTACATTAACAGAACAGTTTCATTGAAAATTGTATTTTTCATCGTATATTTATCCTAGGGTTTTGTAGTACACTTATATTCTTTGACATTAGAACATAATACATTGTTCACAATAATGACAAGAATCTCTCTTTATGAAGGTTATTTACAACGTATGGCGTGTACACCACGACGAATCATTTTGGGAGAATCCCTTCACGTTTGATCCAACCAGATTCTTGGATGATAATGGCGAACTTCTGCCATCGGAGGATGAAAAGCGTCAGAGGTAGATCTGCATATAGCCGAATTCATGGTTTCCAGCAGGGGAAAAAGAAAGCTTATACACAAAGAGGTCCCATACGTTGAATACATACCTGTGAAATAAAACCTAAACATTCTTTCATGGCTGTTGAATAAGCTGTAAGTTATCCTTGGATCGGTGGCATAATTGATGAGGTGTCGTTATAGGTCCTACCATCCTCCCGTCGCAATGCAACCCCACCCGTCTGGTGGTACCTGTGGAAAAGTTATACTGTTTATTTTCAATTATTCGGACAACTTGGAATACCGCAAAAACAAACTGTATCCACACTTTGCCATTTTGTCTGGTCATGGGGAGGCTGCCTTGGCGGCAGTTTTAAGCGTTTGCTTAGCTCGGTAGTATGAACGATGATGAGTACCCCTTAAAGCATACATACTTTGACTGATGCGTATATTACGCGTTGTTCATGCATGATATGAACGTTCATTATGATCAGATGTTAGGTCTGGACACAACGCCATGGGACTGTAAATCATAGGTACATTCAAATCATTACGCAATGTAGGTAGTATAAACATACACATGATTACACGTGTTCTGTATTACTTTGCAGACTGCTGACGTTTGGTGTCGGAAAGCGTTCTTGTATTGGTGAGAAGCTGGCCCGAGTCAGGATATTTCTTGGACTGACGTCTATCCTGCAAAACTTCGACCTTGTTCGTGATCCGTCAGAGCCTTTCCCTTCATCCGACCCGAGCACATACGAGCCTAAATTTATCTTACAGCCACCTCCATACAGGCTGCAGTTCAAACCCTAGACATTGAAAGTCGCATTGTCCCTGTTTACGACACACACATAAGCTTTGAGATTTGTCGAAAGTGTTAGAGCTTCTGTCGTGAGCCATTCTCCCTGATAACCCCTAAATTTACGTGTATCTCGACAGGAACTAATTGAAGTCATTATAGTTATGGATATACATGTGACGTCTTCATAATCAACCCATGTGACAAGTATATTATCAACTTCGACTAATTCCAAATGGATTTAATTTCTGTATGCTTAGTCATTGTTATACTTTTGTAGTTAATCTAGACGTTTCATGCCACATCTTATACTGAGGAACTATCAATGAGATCGTGAGATGTTATTTCTTGAAAGACAAGCGATATATTGCCTGCGTAACCTTTCACTGCATTAAGAGAGGGTTGAGTTGAGTTGAGTTGGGCTTTACGTCACATCGGCATTATTCCAGCCATATAGTGACGAGAACAAGTCTGCATTAATATACATTGTAAGTACAAAGTGGTTTCGTTTCAAAGACACACATTCATTACATTGTCATTTTGGAACAGAATGTCATAGCACTAAATTGAAAAGCAGGTAAATTCGTTAGTGACATTACACAGTTACAATTTATGATATAGATCAACTTCCCTCAGGTAGTTAAGTATCAGATGAGCGCTCACGCTGGAGAACAGATCTTTCAGATTGGTTGCGTGATAATGCGAGTCCCTTGCAGATGTAAAGTCCACACAGTCAAGCAGAATATGCTTGACGGTGAAAGCCTCATCGCAGGAGAGACATATGGGGGGTCCATCCCCATCCGTTTTTAGTAGATAGTCATGTGTAAATCGACTGTGGCCAATACGACATCGTCGTAAAATTACTTCATCACGTCTTGACTGGCATCCCAAGTAGGTATAACCGATTGTTTGCTTCAATTCATGGAGTTTGTTTCTTCCTACTTGAGTGTCCCACCTTTTTTGCATCAGGTCCCGAGTATAGCTTCTGATAGTGGGTTTGAAATCACTGTACGGGATTAGCAGTGGATAATTTTTCAAGAGCTGCTTTTGCTGCAGCATCGGCCTTAGTGTTACCTGCTATGCCGACGTGACCCGGCAACCAGCAGAGGACGATGTCATATTGGCCAGTAGAAAGGTCGTTGTACAGTTGTATTATGTCCAGGATGATTGGGTGACTTGAAGTCACGTTTAGAAGTGCTTGAAGGCAGGATAATGAATCTGTAAAAACGATGAAGTTTTAGGACTGATTTTGCTGTTGAATGTAGGTCAAAGCTGAGAAGATAGCTTTGGCTTCAGCGGTGAAAATGGAACTGTTGTCGGGGATCCTAGAGGAGACAGTCTTGGATCCAATGACTGCAGCACTGGCAACATGGCCATCATCCTTGGATCCGTCTGTGAAAATGGATATGTGAGTGTTATACTTCGAACGTAACTGGTTGAATTCCTGTTGGAACACCAAGGGATTTGTTTCAGACTTTTTGAGTTTGGTGAGGGTGAGATCGACCTGTGGTTTCACCATTTGCCATGGTGGAGAGGACAGAAGTCGGTATGGTGCAATGATGTTGAGATCAATTTTAGCTGCAGATATGTGGGTTTGATCCTGATTCGAAGTGGTGGAACCAGGCTTGGCCTGTTTAGGAAATAAGTTTTCATAGAGCGGGTTGAAAACACAATTGTATGCTGGATTGGACTCATTTGAACGTAATTTAGTGATATACTGCAGTGAGAGTTTAATGCGGCGTTGTTCAAGGGAAGGTTCATTGGCCTCCGCATATAGACTGTCTACCGGAGAGGTCCTAAAAGCTCCCAGGCAGAGCCTCAGCCCTTGGTGGTGGATAGAGTCTAGTTTTTCTAAATTGCTTTTGCAGGCTCCACCGTAGACAATGGAGCCATAATCTAGTTTACTGCGAACTAATGATCTGTACAAGTGAAGGAGGGTGGTCTGATCCCCTCCCCACTCTGTATTTGAGACTACTTTTAGCAAGTCTAGAGCCTTCAAGCATTTTGTTTTCAAATATTTTATGTGTGGTAAGAACGTCAGGTGGCGGTCGAATATGAGTCCAAGGAATTTGGCCTCTTCTACAACCTTGATGGGAGTACCATCTAAAGTTAGGTCTGGATCCTTGTGTGGTTTGTATTTACGACAAAAGTGAATACAATTTGTTTTGGATTTTGAAAACTTAAAACCATTTTCATTGGCCCATTTTTGGATTTTGTTAAGGCAGAGTTGTAGCTGCCTTTCTATTGCGTGCATGTTCTTACCACGACATGAAATAGTGAATTCATCCACGGAAAGGGTCCCGTCAACGCAACTGTTCAGAACGTCAGTGAGGCTGTTAATTTTGATGCTAAAAACGTGTGACAGACAGGATGCTGCCTTGGGGGACGCCCTGATCTTGGTGGAAATAGTCAGACAGTGTGGAACCCACCCGAACTTGAAACTGTCTGTTATTTAAAAACTGAGATATGAATTGAGGTAGTCTACCCCTCAATCCAAACTCGTGTAAATCTTTTAGGATACCATGTTTCCACGTTGTATCATATGCTTTTTCTAAGTCGAAAAAGATAGATACGGTATGTTGTTTGTTGACAATGGAGTTTTTGATGAATGATTCGAGACGCACCAGATGGTCATTGGAGGTCACTGAGGAGGTTATTGGACTCCAAGTACCAGATTAATCGATTGTTGACCATGCGCTCCATGGTTTTGCAAACGCAGCTAGTTAGTGATATAGGACGGTAGTTTGAGGGATCAGTATGATCGCGGCCGGGTTTTGGTATAGGGATGATAATGGCATTGTGCCACGAAGGGGGGAAGTGTCCGGATGTCCAGATGTCATCAAATATATTTAGGAGTGTTTCCAAGCCTGTGTCAGGGAGGTGTTTCAGAAGCTGATAATGGATTTCATCAGCTCCTGCCGCAGTGTCGTGAGCCTGTCCTAGGGCAGTACGTAATTCATGGAGGGAAAACGTTTCGTTGTAATCCTCCCCATTATCAGAGTTAAAATTGACTGGTTTCTTTTCTTGTTGGGTTTGGTATTTCTGGAACTGAGGGTTATAATTTGATGAGGAGGAGTGGTTTGCCAAAGTTTCGCCAAGTTTGTTTGCAATTTCAGATTTGTTTGTGAGGAGGGAGTCACCATCTTTCATGGGGTGAACTCCTGATTTTGACCCTTTGCCCTTAATCTTTTAAATCATGTTCCACACCTTGGACATGGGTGTGCGGGGGTTGATTTTTGACACATATTTCCTCCATGACCGGCGTTTAGTTTGTTTGAAGGTACGTTTTGCCCTGGCATTTGTCATTTTAACAGCATTCAGGTTATGCACTGTAGGATGATGTCGGAAATATTTTTCCGCCTTCTTCCTATTTTTCCTAGCTTGTTTGCAGTTTGTATCAAACCATGGTTTGCGTATGTGCGGGTTTGCAGAGGACTTTGGAATAGTTTTGTCTCCGATGGCATTTAGGACGTCTGAAAATAGTTCCATGGGGTCAGGAACATTCCTGAAGTTGTCCGGCTTAAGTTTTTCTGAACATAGGGTTTGGAATAAAGGCCAATTGGCCTTAGTAACATTCCATCTTGTTGATGGTGGTTCATCCGTGGGGTTGATAGGAGTAAGAATTGTTGGGAGTGGTCGCTTCCACAAAGGTCGTCATGGACCGACCATTCGAACTCATTTAAAAGATTAGAATCTGTAAGTGATAGATCGAGAGCAGAGTATGATCCAGTGGCAGGATGGAGGTAGGTGTTTGATCCATCGTTGAAGATGCATACATCATTATTTGAGAGAAACTCTTCAAGGACCTTTCCCTTACTATTTGTATCAGTACTCCCCCATAGGGGGTTATGGCCGTAGAAGTCGCCCATGATTATGCAGGGCTTTGGGAGTTGATCATATAAGTTCTGAAGATCTGATAGGCGGACAGTTAAGGTGGGAGGGAGATAGAGGGAACATAGTGTAAACCCAATGTTCAGAGTTATGCGGACAGCAACAGTTTGTAGGTTGGTGTTAAGTGGAACAGGGCTATGGAGGATGCCCTGCCTCACCAGGATAGAAGTGCCTCCTGTAGCTTTTACGCCGCGAGGAGAAAAGGAGTGGTAGGAACTGTACCCACGGATGTCAAATTTATCAGTCCTTTTTAGGTAGGTTTCTTGGAGACAAAACGCGGATGGTGTGAAGTCTTGGATCAATAACTGTAATTCATTATAATTATTCTTTAGTCCTCTGCAATTCCATTGGATCATGTTTTGTGGATTCGTGAACGTGAGAAAGCGTTTGATGAACTCCTATTGGTGTCTGGTGGAGATGGAGTTACCTCCATATCCAGAGGGCCAAAGGAGTTATGGACCTCGATGGGGACCTCTGAGGGAGAGGTGGCCTTTGGTTTTGTGTTTGGCGGTTGTTCGAGTTGCTTTTGTCTCTCTAGCCTCTTTTTTTCCCTTTTTCTGCGCGCAGTTTCTGTTTCTGGTTTTGGCATTTGCTCTGGTGTTTGCGATTCAGAGGTTTTGACTTTTGGCGTTGGAGATGGAGTGGCTGAGATGGGCTCAGTTGTGTTGAGTTGAGTTGGCTGAGAAGACATGATCCATGTCAGGTCGGTCTGACATGAGATGGTTGCAGTAGCGATAGAAGGACGGGAGACAGCAGAAGAGTAGGTGATGGTTGAAGGGGCTGCAGTTAAACTTGCAACCCTCTTCTTTGCTTCATGAAAGGAGATATTTTCTTTGTGCTTGATCTTTAGGATCTCGGATTTTTGCCATTAAGAGAGGGGCGGAGATAATATTTTTCCCTACGCAAGAAGTTGCTCGCTGATATTGAAGGTATGTTGGCCAAATATGCAACAGCCGTTATTCCTATATGTGCATTTGAACTATAACATGTGATTTTATTCCGGAACATTACTATTCACGAGAGGGGTGTTAGTTTCTGAGAGCAGTATTTATAGCAAAGGTTATCCGGATGTTTTTGAAAGGATTGTATGATTATGAAACAGCAAATGCTTCTACCCGTTACAATTACAATACAAATTGCACAACGTAATTAGTTCTGTTTCAGACAGTACCACAGCATTAGTGCATGTTCAATCTCAAAGTATATAACCAGGACACTGCACAAATATAGCATTTATTAAGACACCTTCAATGAATATACTGGAAAGTTAAATCATTAACTCTACAATAACTATGTATGTGATAACTAATCCAATGAATAAATGCTTTGTCTTCACTTACCTATTTCATGTATCGATGTCAGTGTCAC